TTGTTGTTGGTTGGGACTTTGTTGGTTTTATGAAGCATCAAAGTGATTTCACCCTCCAGCTATCTCCAGAAGTAATTCTGCTCAGGACATGAAGTGCGCTCGCCAACAAAAGCGCTACGCCATCGGCGGCGGGGAGGAAACAAATAAGATGCGAGTCTCCCTCCCGCTGCCGTGAGCTAATATTTTTCTTTGTCATTCATATTCATGTTTTCAGACGGAAATAATTCTGATCTCAGCTGGGAAGAGGCCGCCGCAGAAGTATTTACATTAGGAGTTCAGAGGTAGGTGAGCACTTTAATGTGCTCTATTACGAGGGGGGGGGCCCTCCTAGGTAATGGTGGAATGTTCTATATGTGGACCCCCGATGGGACCATTGTGGAGAATCGTACTCTAGCCAAATAGGAGAATCTATCATTTAACCCATTCATGATTGGAGGTCGTTGGTGCTGCCCTGAGACATTCCAATGGGAAGACTTTTTGGGCCCATTTCTGCGGTAGGTTGCAGCGCGCTCGCGGTTGGGCACACATACTGGCGTCAATGGGGCCTTAAGCTGGCCTTTCACCTTCGTATTCTCGTAAATACTTCAGCTCTTTGGGCATACTAGGTATGCTCATGGAGTGAAGGGTGTGAGGCTCGGTTCAGATCTGTCATGGCTAAGGTAGTGCAGGAAAAGAAGTCCCCAACCTGTGGCCCCATAGGGTTTGCCAAGGTTGCTGATGCAGGGGACCAGTACCGGGACAGGTTTGCTCAGGGTTTGAGGCTCAGTTCAGATCTGTCATGGCTAAGGTAGCCCAGGAAAAGAAGTCCCCAACCTGTGGCCCCATAGGGTTTGCCATGGCTGCTGATGCAGGGAGCCAGTACCGGGACAGGTTTGCTCAGGGTTTGAGGCTCAGTTCAGATCTGTCATGGCTAAGGTAGCCCAGGAAAAGAAGTCCCCAACCTGTGGCCCCATAGGGTTTGCCATGGTTGCTGATGCAGGGGGCAGTACAGGGACAGGTTTGCTGAGGGTTTGAGGATTGGTTCAGATCTGTCATGGCTAAGGTAGTGCAGGAAAAGAAGTCCCCAACCTGTGGCCCCATAGGGTTTGCCATGGTGCTGCTGATGCAGGGGGAGCCAGTACCGGGACAGGTTTTGGTGAGGGTTTGAGTCTTGGTTCAGATCTGTCATGGCTAAGTAGCCCAGGAAAAGAAGTCCCCAACCTGTGGCCCCATAGGGTTTGCTCAGTGTCCAGGGCAAGGGTGCAGAACGGTGCCCCCTCCTGTACTCCTAGAATTGGTGTACCACCCTGAGCCGATTTTGGTCAGCTTCCTTAGCACCGGCTGTCCATGGTTGCCACGCAGTGTTCTCTACAAGCTGGCCAATGGCTTGCTTTCCAGCAAATAGAAGGCAGTTGCATATGCCCGGTGGTTTTTTTTTTTTCGGGTGGGGTTGTGAGTCAGCGATTGGAACATGTGTGGCATCAATAGTTGTCAGAATAGTCATGAATCTGCACCTTGCTGGTTGCTAGACACTGATCTGGGGATTGTGTGTGGTGAAGAGGTGCCCACCCTACCGCTGCACCCTGGGCAGCTGCCCCTCCTGCCCACCCCTTGTTCCAGCCTTGTGTGGGGATGCCATTAGGAATTAATGACAACCTCCACACATCTGAAAAAAGCGCAGCTTGTGTCTCTGTGGGTTGAGACCGTGCGTGATTTTGGACCTGGCTGTCATGTAACTGTCATGTAACAGTGACCTGGGCTGCTATATAGCTCACCTTGGTAGTGCTGGCTGTGTGGTCCATACCCCCTTCCATTGTTCCAGGACCCTCCCACTCCTCCCATGACCACTCCCACTCCTCCCATGACCTCACCAAACAGTTATAAGCATGAGTCTGAGACGCCGCACTCCTAAGTGGCCTATGTACTGGATCAGTGGATGGTAAGTGACCTCAGCCTAGTGTCCTCCCAGGCCATGTCCACTGACGTGGTTCACCCCTCCCACGGGGCTCAATCACCTCTATGACTAAGCCCTGTGGCTGGGCGAAACGCGTAGCCTGAGAGGAGCCTTGGCTGAGGCCACTTTCCATCCACTGATCCAGTACATAGGCTGCTTAGGAGTGTCACGCTTTGTACAGCCAGCTAGGATGGGCATTTCAGACACGGGCAACTGAGGGTATTGGGTCATCAGGGCGGGTTGGATTGGCGCTTGGAGCGGAATTGTAAAAAATGGAACGGGGTCACACATCAAACAGTGTCAGGATGTTGAGTGAGAGGAGATGGAGGAACGTCCATTCATTGATCTCCCCTGCTGCCAGTGAAAAGATGGAGGAACGTCCATTCGTTGATCTCCTCTGCTGCCGGTGAAAAGATGGAAGAACGTCCATTCGTTGATCTCCCCTGCTGCCGGTGAAAAGATGGAGGAACGTCCATTCGTTGACCTCCCTTGCTGCCGGTGAAAAGATGGAGGAACCTCCATTCGTTCACCTCCCCTGCTGCCGGTGAAAAGATGGAGGAACGTCCATTCGTTGATCTCCCCTGCTGCCGGTGAAAAGATGGAGGAACGTCCATTCGTTCACCTCCCTTGCTGCCGGTGAAAAGATGGAGGAACGTCCATTCGTTCACCTCCCCTGCTGCCGGTGAAAAGATGGAGGAACGTCCATTCGTTGATCTCCCCTGCTGCCGGTGAAAAGATGGAGGAACGTCCATTCGTTGACCTCCCCTGCTGCCGGTGAAAAGATGGAAGAACGTCCATTTGTTGATCTCCCCTGCTGCCAGTGAAAAGATGGAGGAACGTCCATTCGTTGATCTCCCCTGCTGCCAGTGAACCTGGAAGTGCTCATCTCTGAGTCTTTCTGGTTTCAGAGCTGCCAGTCCCTGACTGCTACAGCCAGGGAGGCAGCTAATCAACCACAAGCTGGGCTTGATTGGCTGCATTTGAGGGCAAGGGAGAGATTGGGGGTCTAATAGATCTCTGATGGCTCCTTAAAGAGGACCTGTCACCTGCCCAATGCCATCACGTAGGGCAGGGGTGGGCAACTGTGTCCCTCCAGCTGTTGGTGAACTACAAGTCCCATCATGCCTCTGCCTTTGGGAGTCATGCTTGTAACTGTCAGTTTTGCAATGCCTCATGGGACTTGTAGTTCTACAACAGCTGGAGGGCCGCAATTGCCCACTCCTGACGTAGGGGATTGTTAGCCTGATAGCAATAAAATTAAATAGAAAAAAAAAAGGTAAAAAAAAAACAAAAAAACCCCTAAAGTGACCCCGGTGCCCTGCACATGCACAGGGGGCACACGTATGTAAACCGCAATGACCCCAGACATGTTATATATCACTATGAACTCCAGAGTGCGAGCGATCGTTCCAGGGCATCATGTCTGCCTGATACTAAACAGATGAGCTGAGAAGCCATTGACAGCCTGCTGATCATGTTCGGCCATTTTGCAGATGGGCGCAGTCTTGAGGCTCGACACGTTTGGTATCTACGTACTCTCCACTACCCCATCTTCTGTCATCTACAACATGGAGAATACGTTGTGCTTGGCTGCAATAAAATCATTCTTCGTGTATTTCCCCGAAATTATAGATTTGATGAACAGCGGCATAAAAACCATACGAAAAAAATAGAATGTTCTAGGCTACGTGTGTCATACACAAGGTCCAAGGGCCAAATCCAACCCACCATGCCACTTCATGTGTCCCTCACACCTCTCCGGCACCCCCCTCATCTCCCCTCCCCCAGTGATCACACTGTACATTGTAACTTTGTAGAAGGAGTCATTTCCTCAGTCTCCCCCTCCCCAGTGATCAGACCCTGCACATTGTAACTTTGTAGAAGGAGGAGGAGTAATTTCCTCAGTCTCCTCCCCCAGTGATCAGACTGCACATTGTAACTTTGTAGAAGGAGGAGGAGGCATTTCCTCAGTCTCCCCTCCCCCAGTGATCAGACTGTATATTGTAACTTTGTAGAAGGAGGAGGAGGCGTTTCCTCAGTCTCCTCCCCCAGTGATCAGACTGTACATTGTAACTTTGTAGAAGGAGGAGGAGGCGTTTCCTCAGTCTCCTCCCCCAGTGATCAGACTGTACATTGTAACTTTGTAGAAGGAGGAGGAGGCATTTCCTCAGTCTCCTCCCCCAGTGATCAGATTGTATATTGTAACTTTGTAGAAGGAGGAGGAGGAATTTCCTCAGTCTCCTCCCCCAGTGATCAGACTGTACATTTTAACTTTGTAGAAGTTGGAAGAGGCATTTCCTCAGTCTCCTCCCCCAGGGATCAGACTGTACATTGTAACTTTGTAGAAGGAGGAGGGGGCATTTCCTCAGTCTCCTCCCCCAGTGATCAGACTGTACAGTGTAACTTTGTAGAAGGAGTAGGAGGCATTTCCTCAGTCTCCCCCCTCCCCCAGGATCAGACTGTACATTGTAACTTTGTAGAAGGAGGAGGAGGCGTTTCCTCAGTCTCCTCTCCCCCAGTGATCAGACTGCACAAGCTGAGAGGCATCAGCAGGGGCTGATTTGTGTCAGACATTTGTGAACAGTTCTGATATTGGTGATCGTCATTCTCCCGTTGTCCGCGTGGCGATGTAATAAAGTTGTAGATGAATATTCTCCCTCCTCCTCCCCGGCGGCGGGCAGCGCGCTCTTCCTCGATGATACATGTCATATCAGCATGCTCCAATCTCTCCTCTCCCGTGTGCCCCTCTGAACTTGTCGTGCCGTCTCTGCCTGCCTGCCTTTCATTTGATTTCTCTCTCTTTCCCTGCCACGCCGCGGCGTCTGCAGCTGCTGCGCACCCCATCCCCCCCCCCCCCCCCGCTCCCTCTCCGGCGTTTCTGTCACTTTCCATCGGAAGGCCTTCGATAAAATGCAATTTAAGAAGAAAGATTCGAACCTTCTGTGGTTTGTGTGCCAAGGCCGCCCTCCCCCGCCCTCGCTGCGTGCCAGATGGTTGCCCCGAGCGAAGAACCTGTGCCCCGCTCATTGTGTCACCGCCGATATATCCATAGAAACAAGCGCGGGGGGCCGGCGGACGGAGACCTGGTCCCCCGATCTGCCATGGCGGCGGCGGCTGGAGAGTGTATTTATAGAACTGTGTACTGAGTACTGCACGGTGGTCACGCGGGGCCCCCAGGCACCTTGTACAATCAGGGGCCCCCTGTAGGACCCGTGTCAGCGGGCGTTCTTTTCAAATGCTGCTCAGAAGCAAACGCAGGGTTACCACGCCCGCAGGAATGTGACTTGTCAGAGGACGGGCGGACGCAGCTGCACAGCCAGGAGCTCCGCGGAATTCAGGCCCCCAGGGCTGGTTCTAGCCTGTCTGATGTGGGGTGCAGCAAAAATGGCAGGGGGGCGGGGCAGAGGACAGGGGTCACTGCTGGCGGGGCAGAGGACAGGGGTCACTGCTGGGGGAACAGAGGACAGGGGTCACTGCTGGCAGGGCAGAGGACAGGGTCACTGCTGGCTGGGCAGAGGACAGGGGTCACTGATGGCAGGGCAGAGGACAGGGGTCACTGCTGGCGGGGCAGAGGGGCACAGGGGTCACTGCTGGCGGGGTGGTCAGAGGACAGGACAGGGGTCACTGCTGGCGGGGCAGAGGACAGGGTCACTGCTGGCGGGGCAGAGGACAGGGGTCACTGCTGGCGGGGCAGAGGACAGGGGTCACTGCTGGCGGGGCAGAGGACAGTGGTCACTGCTGGCGGGGCAGAGGACAGGGGTCACTGCTGGCAGGGGCAGAGGACAGGGGTCACTGATGGCAGGGCAGAGGACAGGGGTCACTGCTGGCGGGGCAGAGGACAGGGGTCACTGCTGGCAGGGCAGAGGACAGGGGTCACTGATGGCGGGGCAGAGGACAGGGGTCACTGCTGGCGGGGCAGAGGACAGTGGTCACTGCTGGCGGGGCAGAGGACAGGGGTCACTGCTGGCGGGGCAGAGGACAGTGGTCACTGCTGGCGGGGCAGAGGACAGGGGTCACTGCTGGCGGGGCAGAGGACAGGGGTCACTGCTGGCGGGGCAGAGGACAGTGGTCACTGCTGGCGGGGCAGAGGACAGGGGTCACTGCTGGGAGGGCAGAGGACAGTGGTCACTGCTGGCGGTATAGTGACAGGTTAGGGTAGTATAGTGGCAGGTTAGGGTAGTATAGTGGCAGGTTAGGGTGGTGGCAGGTTAGGGTAGTAGTGCAGGTTAGGGTAGTATAGTGGCAGGTTAGGGTAGTATGGTAGCAGGTTAGGGTAGTATAGTGGCAGGTTAGGGTAGTATAGTGGCAGGTTAGGGTAGTATAGTGGCAGGTTAGGGTAGTATATATAGTGGCAGGTTAGGGTAGTATAGTGGCAGGTTAGGGTGGTATAGTGGCAGGTTAGGGTAGTATAGTGGCAGGTTAGGGTAGTATAGTGGCAGGTTAGTAGGTTAGGGTAGTATAGTGGCAGGTTAGGGTAGTATGTGGCAGGTTAGGGTAGTATAGTGGCAGGTTAGGGTAGTATAGTGGCAGGTTAGGGTAGTATAGTGGCAGGTTAGGGCGGTATAGTGGCAGGTTAGGGTAGTATAGTGGCAGGTTAGGGTAGTATAGGTGCAGGTTAGGGTAGTATAGTGGCAGGTTAGGGGGTATAGTGGCAGGTTAGGGTAGTATAGTGGCAGGGGTAGTATGGTAGCAGGTTAGGGTAGTATAGTGACAGGTTAGGGTAGTATTGTGGGAGGTTAGGGTAGTATAGTGGCAGGTTAGGGTAGTATAGTGACAGGTTAGGGTAGTATAGTGGCAGGTTAGGGTAGTATAGTGACAGGTTAGGGTAGTATAGTGGCAGGTTAGGGTAGTATAGTGGCAGGTTAGGGTAGTATAGTGACAGGTTAGGGTAGTATAGTGGCAGGTTAGGGTAGTATAGTGGCAGGTTAGGGTAGTATAGTGACAGGTTAGGGCAGTATAGTGGCAGGTTAGGGTAGTATAGTGGCAGGTTAGGGTAGTATAGTGGCAGGTTAGGGTGGTATAGTGGCAGGTTAGGGTAGTATAGTGGCAGGTTAGGGTAGTATAGTGGCAGGTTAGGGTAGTATAGTGGCAGGTTAGGGCAGTATAGTGGCAGGTTAGGGTAGTATAGTGACAGGTTAGGGCGGTATAGTGACAGGTTAGGGTAGTATAGTGGCAGGTTAGGGTAGTATAGTGGCAGGTTAGGGTGGTATAGTGGCAGGTTAGGGTAGTATAGTGGCAGGTTAGGGTAGTATAGTGGCAGGTTAGGGTAGTATAGTGGCAGGTTAGGGTAGTATAGTGACAGGTTAGGGTAGTATAGTGACAGGTTAGGGTAGTATAGTGACAGGTTAGGGTAGGTATAGTGGCAGGTTAGGGTAGTATAGTGGCAGGTTAGGGTAGTATAGTGGCAGGTTAGGGTAGTATAGTGACAGGTTAGGGTAGTATAGTGGCAGGTTAGGGTAGTATAGTGGCAGGTTAGGGTGGTATAGTGGCAGGTTAGGGTAGTATAGTGGCAGGTTAGGGTAGTATAGTGGCAGGTTAGGGTGTATAGTGGCAGGTTAGGGTAGTATAGTGGCAGGTTAGGGTAGTATAGTGGCAGGTTAGGGTAATAGTATAGGGTAGTGGCAGGTTAGGGTAGTATAGTGGCAGGTTAGGGTAGTATAGTGACAGGTTAGGGGTAGTATATAGTGGCAGGTTAGGGTAGTATAGTGGCAGGTTAGGGTAGTATAGTGACAGGTTAGGGTAGTATAGTGGCAGGTTAGGGTAGTATAGTGGCAGGTTAGGGTAGTATAGTGACAGGTTAGGGTAGTATAGTGGCAGGTTAGGGTAGTATAGTGACAGGTTAGGGTAGTATAGTGGCAGGTTAGGGTGGTATAGTGGCAGGTTAGGGTAGTATAGTGGCAGGTTAGGGTAGTATAGTGGCAGGTTAGGGTAGTATAGTGGCAGGTTAGGGTGTAGTATAGTGACAGGTTAGGGTAGTATAGTGGCAGGTTAGGGTGGTATAGTGGCAGGTTAGGGTAGTATAGTGGCAGGTTAGGGTAGTATAGTGGCAGGTTAGGGTAGTATAGTGGAAGGTTAGGGTGGTATAGTGGCAGGTTAGGGTAGTATAGTGGCAGGTTAGGGTGGTATAGTGGCAGGTTAGGGAAGTATAGTGGCAGGTTAGGGTAGTATAGTGGCAGGTTAGGGTAGTATAGTGGCAGGTTAGGGTAGTATAGTGACAGGTTAGGGTATACAGTGGCAGGTTAGGGGTAGTATAGTGGCAGGTTAGGGTAGTATAGTGGCAGGTTAAGACGGTATAGTTTAGTATAATTTTCCCCCTCCTATCACAAATCCCCCCCCCATCTCCAAATCCCCCCTCCCAGCATAAATTTCTCTCCCCCCCAAAAAAGAAAAATGTTCCCCTGCTAGCACAAATCCTCCCTCCTTCTCCAAATCCCTTCTCCCAGCAGAAATTCTCCTCCCCCAATCTCCCCTTCTAGCACAAACACCCCCCAATAATCCCTACTAACAAAAATCCCCCCCCCCCCAAAAAAAAATTCCCGTCCTAGTAAAAATACACTCCTCCCTCTACCATATCACCTTTTCTAACACAATCCCCCCCCCCAGCACAAATCCTCTTTCTCCATGCCCCCTCCCAACGCTAATCCCCCCAAATTACTACTCCTAGCACAACTCCCCACAGTTTCCCTCTTAGAACAATTTTTACCCCCTGCCGTCCCCCCTAAATCCCCCCTCCCACACAGATCTCCCCCCCCCCCTAATTTTTGGATATGTATTATAGCAAAAAGTCAAAAATACTGTTTTTTAAAATCAAAATTCTCAGAAATTTTTGTTTATAGCTCAGGCTATAGACTGTTAATCGCACAGACGATCAAATACCACTGAAAGAAAGCTCTATTTGTGGGAAAAAAATGACATGAAGTTCATTTGGGTGCGACGCTGCATGACCGCGCAATTGTCAGGTAAAGTAACGCAGCGCCGTAATGCAAAAAATGGCCTGGTCAGGGACAGGGGTAAATCCTCAGGAGGGCAAGTAGTTAATGCAAAGTCGCGTCCCATAGACTTTAGTGCAAAGTCGCGTCCCATAGACTTTAGTGCAAAGTCGCGTCCCATAGACTTTAGTGCAAAATCCCGTCCCATAGACTTTAGTGCAAAGTCGCGTCCCATAGACTTTAGTGCAAAGTCGCGTCCCATAGACTTTAGTGCAAAATCCCGTCCCATAGACTTTAGTGCAAAATCACGTCCCATAGACTTTAGTGCATAATCATGTCCCGTAGACTTTAGTGCAGAATCACGTGCCATAGATTTTAGTGCAAAATCGCGTCCCATAGACTTTAGTGCAAAATCCCATCCCATAGACTTTAGTGCATAATCATGTCCCATAGACTTTAGTGCAAAATCACGTCCCATAGACTTTAGTGCATAATCATGTCCCGTAGACTTTAGTGCAGAATCACGTGCCATAGACTTTAGTGCAAAATCCCATCCCATAGACTTTAGTGCAAAATCACGTCCCATAGACTTTAATGCAAAATCGCATCCCATAGACTTTAGTGCAGAATCGCATCCCATAGACTTTAGTGCAGAATCGCGTCCCATAGACTTTAGTGCAGAATCGCGTCCCATAGACTTTAGTGCAGAATCGCGTCCCATAGACTTTAGTGCAGAAACATGTCCCATAGACTTTAGTGCAAAATCGCATCCCATAGACTTTAGTGCAAAATCACGTCCCATAGACTTTAATGCAAAATCGCATCCCATAGAGTTTAGTGCAGAATCGCGTCCCATAGACTTTAGTGCAGAATCGCGTCCCATAGACTTTAGTGCAGAATGTCATAGACTTTATCAGAATCGCGTCCCATAGACTTTAGTGCAGAAACATGTCCCATAGACTTTAGTGCAAAATCGCATCCCATAGACTTTAGTGCAGAATCGCGTGCCATAGACTTTAGTGCAGAATCGTGTCCCATAGACTTCGGTAGTAAACTCTGCCATCAAATTTCCATTTTGGGGCCCCCCTGGTGGGTTATGCCATGGTATGCATGGCCTGTTACTGATGTGAATGTACAATATGTATGTAAAGTGCTGTGTAAACCGACGGCGTATAGAAGTACCTGAAATACATAAATAAACAAATAAATTACGGTAGACTTATGCAGGCCATAGACAGTTCGTTTATCGGACGAATTTTCGGCTGAAAAACGAAAAATCGGTCGTTCTATTGCCACCAATGATTATGAAAATCGTCCGGGTTTCGTAAATTTTCCAGCATGACGGATAAAAGAAATGAGGAGGAACCGCGAAAATCGGTCAACGCCATTGCCCCAATAACGGTGCGAATATCGGCCGATTATTCTTGTGGGTGAAAAACGAAGCGTCTATGGCCTGCATTACTTGTCAAACGGTGCCCTCCAATGCTGTGGCGGGATCGATCTGGAGAGCCCCCGACGTTTCCATCTTCTCCCGGTCTCGTGCCTTTAGGCATTGCGTTAAGCCGGGCCCCGATGATGTCACTCCCACGCATGGGCACCGGAGTCACATCACGGTCACTGAACATGCAGCTCAGTGTACAGGACAGCTGAGAAGCAGGAGGATGCATTTACGCAGAAGAGACCAATACAGACCAATAGAGACCAGTAGGGACCAATAGAGACCAGTAGGGACCAATAGAGACCAGTAGGGACCAATAGAGACCAGTAGGGACCAATAGGGTCTCGCCTGTCATAAATACCCTGCCTGTCAGCAACTTTTAAAAAATTTACTTAACTTCAATGCAAAATCGCGTCCCATTGACTTCAATGTAAAAACGTCAG